CTCTCTCTCTCTCTCTCTCTCTCTCTCTCTCGGAGCGTGTTTGATTTTGTCATGTCACGTCATAATGTCCTATTGTCTGTAAATGTTTGAAGGGATAGACAATAGCGGGCACGACCGGCTGCGGGTGAAAAGATACTACATCCCGGGTGCGGGCGGGCAATGATTTTCTTGCGGGTGCGGGTGGGTCTGGGTGAACCTTTTTTACGGGCGGCGGGTGGGTTGGGCGTGGGCGGAAAAATTCAAAAAAATGCTTGGGTGGGTTGGATCAGCTTCAAACCTCTGTTTTTGTTTTTTTTAAGGGTTGCATGTACTAAGAAAATTTTGGGTGGGTTGGGTGAAGTGGCATTTCAAAAAAAAAATGCTCATGCAGCCACACCACACAGTGAACACCGTAGCTGCAAAGATCGAAATGCGAAGCAAGCGGGGCGGGCAGCAAGGCAACAGCGGAGCGCAGACGACGCAGTCTACTCATCCAACACGAAGAAAAGCAGCACATCACCTACTCACGTTACGAGTGAACCCCACAGACTGTTGGTTCCCACGACCTGCTGAGCCAGGAAGCCACTCTGACAGACATCCATTGTCACCCATAGACCATATGCACCTCAGACAGAGGCCCCCCCCGAGGATCCTGCAGGCACTCCGGACACCCAACCACTGACTGTTTAGCACTTCTTAAAGGTGCTCACACGGACATAGGAAAAAGAAAATGGCTGGAAAAAAATGGGAATAACAGAGACAAAAAAAGAAAAGACATACGTGAAACTGATTGTGTGTGTGTGTGTGTGTGTGTGTGTGTGTGTGTGTGTGTGTGCCATGCTGAGCCTGCACACGGACCGACGGTTGCTGGGGCCCCCAGGCTGCGCACCATTTAGGCAGGGTTGCTGTTCTGTTTTTGTCTGTTGCGTATGCCGTTTCGGACTTGCAGTGCGTCCGAACAGACTTACAGTCTGTTCGGACAAAGACCACGTTTTGGGCCTTCTCCATTTGTGGCCAGGCCCTTTCGGGCCAGGTTCGGTTTTGTCCGGTAGCGGACATTCCCTGCTGCATCAGCAGGGAGGACCTGGACGTCCTGTAGGGACCCAGGCAGGCCGTTCTTAGGCCAGGCCCAGGAGCAGGACTTTTTCCTGCGATCTGGACCGTGGATTGGGCCGACGATCTCATGGCCCAGATTGCAGGTTGTGGGCACAGCACCCAGGCCCAGCACTACTTATAGCTGGGCCAGCTCCTGGGCAGACACACAGTTCGAGTAGCTCACTTCTTGGGCGACATGCTGCTAGAGCTGCACTATACAGCACTGCGCTAGAGGTAGAGGTGTAGGTAGGGAGAAGGGCGGAGGCCATTCCTGCAGCAACGGAGTACGTACCTGGGCTCCATGGCTGAGCTTCGCTCCTGCGACCTGCAGCACAGCGACACGCCCGCGCGTTAGTACCTGGCGACAGTTACCTGCAGGTGAGACAGCAAGGAGGACGGCATCTTCTTCTTCTTCTTCCTGTCCTCGCCCTCCTTCTTCTTCCTTCCTCCTCCTCCTCCTCCTTCTTCTTTTTCTTCTTCTTCTTCTTCTTTCAGAGAGAGAGAGAGAGAGAGAGAGAGAGAGAGAGAGAGAGAGAGAGAGAGAGAGAGAGAGAGAGAGAGGTTACAGGCAGAGGTTACATCGGGCTATGAGGCCCAGGATCTGATTCAACATTTTTGTGGCAGACATTGATTGGACATTCGGCAGGGAGACTATTTTTGTACTTCGCTATCACGATCTAGGTCTTCCCCCTCATCTCCATCGTCGTCTCACCCCTCCTCCCTCGCCTCATCCGTGGTATCTCCCCATGTGTGCATGCAAGGAGGGACCTTTTCTTCTACATTGCGCTACTATTTGTATGTATCTGGATGTACATTGCTTGTTGATGCTTCGCTGATGTTGCATTGTCCATTCGAGTCCTTTTCATCACTTTGCGAATCTTTGGCTCCATATGCATCGCTCGATAGAGCATGTATCAGTGTGTGTGTGTGTGTGCGTGTGTGTGTGTGTGTGTGTGTGTGTGTGTGTGTGTGTGTGTGTGTGTGTGTGTGTGTGTTCAGCTGTCTGTAGATGTGTGGCTGAGGTCAGCGTTACAGCGTTTTTTCAGAAAACCATTTTTTGTTCTCTCCATCTGTGTGTTCTGGATGTGTAGAGATTACGATGGTAAGGTCACACCTGAGGAGGTTGCTGCTGCTGCTGCGTTTTTGAAAGACAGTCTCGACCATGAGCCTCTTCAGGAGCTCATTGCACGACTCGCTAAGGACAAAGGTGATCATTTTTTTTCCTTCAGCTTTCTGGTTTCCCTTTTGTAGTGTTTTTCTGTTTCAGACTTCGCACTAATTCACTGAACCTGTTGACTGGTATGTGTGTGGTGCTTGTTTGAGGCATTCATATGACGGATGCATGCCGTACTCTGTGTGTTTGTTCTTGATACTAAACATTGCGGCTGATATCCTTGATATGCATACTTAGAAGCAAGAGCTTCAGATCCTTTCTTTTCCCTTTTTTAAAGTTTTTAACTTTTTTCCCTTTTTTCCTTTTTTTTACGCCTACAGAAGGATTAAGAGCTTGGAGTCCTTCATGTCCTTGATATTGAGATGCATGTCAAATATTTGGTTGCTGTTCTCGATACCTTGAAATCCACAGACTACTGTAGGCATGCATGTCAAGGATATCCTTGATATCTGTGATATCCTTGATGTCCATGATATGCATGGCCATAAGAGTGGGATGAACAAACAACAAACAAGCATTGTTGCAAACAATGCAAAGTCAAAACTGGAGAGGAATTTCATTGCTTTTTCTGAGCATAACCGAAGGGGAAAGCTATGCATGAATTGTATGAATGAAACCAAGAGTCGTGAATAGTATGAATGAAACCAAGAGTCACAGCCCTTTTGGGCCCAAATCAAAGGGAAAAAGCTATTTATGTCAATTTTATGAATGAAAAATGAAAACATTCAAAACAACAGTTTCGGGCATTTCTGTCCTTTTTGCGCAAATGTATGGGAAAATACTTCAAAAAAGTTATGTATGGATGAAATCTGGTTTTGTGAACTTTCTTTCCCCCTTTACAGTACAGAAATGCTGTTATGCTGCCTGACAATTGGGAAACAGTTGTCGACCAGGCAGGAGGAATTTGTTTCTTCTATTTGTTTTAACCAAGATGAGTTGCAAGTGGAGTGGAGTCCCATGTGGAGTCCCATGTGGTGGCATGGGTGGATGGGTATGGCCATTGCTCATTCACAGCAGTGCACAGTTGGCAACCCTTGAATAATATATCGGCATGGAGGGCGTGAAATCACTCGTCTCTCTTGTTATGGCTTTGCCGGCTTTTTCCACACACTGACTCCTCTTGGTAAGGGCTTCTGTTTCAAAATTACTATGCTTCATTCCTCTTCGTCTCTGTGGCATCTCCCCTCCTCTGTTTGGTGGTGGTAACCACATGACCTGATTGTCGATTGCACACATCCTCCTTTTTAGCTAAGTACTGTTGTTTATTCAACTTTATTGTCAATACCTCGTGTCAGGATTGGGTAATTTACGTGCCTGCTGCCTGGATGTATTGTGTGTGCATGATGACATTGTACGGTTGTGGTGTATGAATATGCAGATGGAAAGATTCTGGTTGAGGACATTGTGCGGCTCGGGGCTGCCCAGGAATCTGATGGATTGGAAAGTGAGCGCCAACCACAATGAAGTTTGCCCCTGCTGGTCTATCGCGGGAAAAGCAAAGAAACATGTACGCAACTCGTCGACATTGTACATCTGCTCCATCCACCAATTGCTGCTTTCTAGGTCTTTGAATTATCGAGTTGAAGTTCTTGTACAACGTGCTTTGGACATTGTGATAGAAGATTTTTGGTAGAGGGTAAGGCTTGACTTCCTGCTAATCAGGAGTCTTTTTGTGGTGAGAGTTGGTCAGAGTTAGGAGTCTACGCCTGGTTGCAATCCATATCAACCAGCAGTCCATTTTTCATTGTGAGAAGCCACTAACTGAACTAGCATTACATGCACAGCTCCTTTGGCAAAGTGTCGAAGCCATTTTCCTGCTGAGTTTCAATTGCTTAAGAAGTGATGAAGTGTGCAGTCTCGACCATAGTGAGGGGTCGTCGAAGTGGTGGTTTTTTGTGTAGAGGGTCGTGCGTTTGACTGCTTCGTGTACTTGCTGTTGTGTCCTAGCCTCCAGGTGTCTTGTGGACTACATATATGCAGTCAAGTGGGAGAAATTTGAGGTAGGGAGAAAGAGAGATTTGGACGAGAATGTTTCAGGTGAGAAAGTGGAAGGGACAGAGACGTAGGGAGAGGGAGAAGAAGAGTCGGGTAGTGAAGATGCATGTGCCGGCTGCATGTGTAGTATTGTGTACGTGCAATTGACGATGATGGAGAGGTTTGGTGTGAATGATTGGTTACATGCAGAACTGCTACCGTGAATGGGTGAATCTCGGCGCATGGTTGTTTTTTCGACTGGCTTTGTACTCTTTTTCAGTCTGTATTTGAGTCATCGACCAGTACATTTCCGCTCCTGTCCCTAATGTTCTGATCAATAGTATGTTTCAGCTTCTGCGCAGCTCCCTACCGTTTGGTGAACTGTCCGTTTGACAGTTTGACTGTCGTCTGGCAAGGCTGGACTGGGCGCAAGTTTGCGGTCTCCTAAATACCAGCGCACCTTTGGCAGGATTGAAATTTTCTGCAGTTGCACCTGTTTCTGGGGTCTGAATTCTTCAAGACAAGTCAATTTTTTTAGCTTGACAATCCATGGTGGTCGCTGAGAAATGTTGAGTGTCTCGCTCTTGCATGTGCATATATAACCTTGCAAAGTTTGGGTCGTTTTGGATCTTCTTAACCTCTTTCCGATTATGTGCTGAGGGTCAATACTTGAAACTCTGGATGTTTTTTGACAGCATGAGTCGTTCAGCCCACTGGCTTGATAATGGTGCCTGTGATCGCATCACGGTGGTGTGGGATCTGGATTGGTAAGAGAACCATGTAGGTGCTACCAACTTGGCCTCTATGGACGAATGTAATAGTGATATAATTTTTGGTTCTAGAGGATGTGATGCAACTGGATTTCACGGTGGTTATAATAACACGCAGCGAGTTGCTTTGGAGGTGCATTTTGGGCAGCCCAACAGGGTGCCTGCTCTCCGTGCCAGAATGCAGTCAACAATTTTGCAATCTCTCGGATGTCGAAGTGAAATCTCCTCCCCGGCAGCATGCTGCATGGTCATTCTGTTACTCTAGTACGTCCGTTTGGCCAGGGGAACCTGATTGGTTAAAAAGTCCTTGGCACCCGGTGACAACACTCCAAGCCATTTTGGCTGCGTGCTGATGTATTCAGTGCAGTGCATGGGCTGAGCCCTATGGGGTCGAAAAAGTGGTGGAGCAAGATGGGCCATGCAAACAGTTGCAAACCCGAACCACGATTGAAAGCATGGTGGGGCTGCACTTGATGGAGATCACCCCCATCCCCCCCACCCCGCGCTTACCATCATGGCCCCCGCGCTTACCATCATGGCGAGGCAGTGGGCGGGGGGKGGAGRGGGGGGGGGGGRGGATGGGGGGGGCGGGGGGGGCTGAACTTGGTGGAGAAACCAAGTCAGAAAAAGATGTTGGTGCTTGTTTTTTTTTTTTCCTTTTTTTTTTGAACACACGCCCCAGTCAGTGCTAGTGGTGCTGATAAGAGCAGACACCACTAACACCTGGGGGGAGGCTCCATCTATTGGTGGGGAGCGACACCTGCTGGAAAACGGGTCCTGCGTCCCTTACATGGACAGAATTCGAACCATATCAGAAAAACAAAGATGTGGAATATTCCTGCCAGCATTGATTACCCTGGGGTCCAGGGGATTGACTGAGCAGGATGTTGGGGGGGGGGGGGACCTCTTCACCCTGAACCTTGCGCCAGATACCTGCTATTACATCCTAGTTCCTCCTACCCCTTCTTTTGTCACAGCATCCCATTATACACTGCCAGCATTGATTGCCCTGTATCCACCAGATCACTCTTTCTACCCTGCTCGCAGCATCCCGTTATACACTCAACTGCCAGCACTAATTGCCCTGAACCCAGATCACTCTTTCTACCCTGCTCTCAGCTTCCTGTTCCTCTGGTTGCCAGTCCGCTCTGTAGCGGTCCTGCATTGCCCATTCAGCCCGCTCCATACCATTGCACATCCACTATTGCCAGCTGGTGAGGCGGGAAGGGATCGGGAAAATCTGTTGCAGGTCGCAGAGGGATTCCTTGGCCCACTGTAGTCCAATCCTTGAAGCAGATCCGGTAGTCCCTCCTGAATTCGTCTTGGTTGCACCCATTGGCAGGCTCTCCATCCCATCTGACACCTGCAATCCAGGCCCCCTTCTCACTGCCCAACAAGTCCCCAGAGAATTGATGAATTGTTTGTGTTATATCTTGTGCTGAGTGAAACAAGTCAAGACGATCTTTAACCTTCTGCCACTGCACCGTAAGTTCTTGCTGAATATATTGTTTTATTGTCTCTGTTACCTCTTCCCCATCTATGCGGACACCCTCAATGGTATATGTACAACGTCTTCTCCAGAGGGCCCACATCACCGCCCTTCTCCCTAACCTGAACATATTGTTTTCAAAATTATTGTCAGTGGGGGAGGACCATGTTTCACATAATATTGCCCTCCAATCCCATGGCCAGTTAGACTCCGCGGCTAGTAGGGTCCAAATCCTGTCCCACCATCGCCACGTGAGAACTGCACTTGGACACTGCATGAATATATGTTCTATAGTTTCCGGGATTCTACGGGAAGGGAACACCGTGTGGCACGATTTACACCACGGCAATGCCTGCCCCTTTTATTCCAGCTGTGTTTGCTCGATCAGCCAATTGTTCATGGGCAGGCAGCGATGTTCAATCTGCCACTGCACCGAGGCCATCTTCGCTGGCCTAGACCTTGTGGCAGTGAATCATCGGATGGGGCGGAGTGCCTCCATTCCTACGTTCAAGTGAGACCTCCACCGAGCCTTCACCATTTCTTTTATGTTCACCTTGGGTCGTAACAGCCGGTATGTGGCTTTTCACCGTTAAAGTGTACAGTTTTCGGCTCTCTCCCGTTCTGGATTTTCGCGGGGGGGGGCATTGCCATTCCTCGGGATTGAAGGGGAGTTCCGCCACAAGGGTCTTTGGCTGGTATGCTACCCACACATCTTTCTCTCGCAGCACTCGGATCCTGTGCAAGTCCATGTTACTCCTCCATCTCATTTCCTCTGGGCTATATCGGGTAAGCACATTATCCTTGTCAGTGTGGAAAAGCTTGACTAGCGTCTCGTCTGTTCGTACCTCTACCACATTGCCTACACTTTCTGGGTCCCCCGGGGTGGCTGCCCAATCCCCTTCGATTAGCTGTGGTCCTTTGCGCAGTATACGCACCCAGTCCAGGGGGACTGTGACGAACCACTTTCTGCAACGCGTGATTTTCTGCACGGATGCAACGAGGGGTCCTAAGCTGGGAAGGTTGGGCCAATTACGGAAGACCGGGATCGGTGGAAAATTGCATCAGTTTCCTTGCTTTTTCGTCTTTTTCGTCACTACTTTTTGAATGACTGGGTTCGGAGCTGGGTGTGCCCTGGGATGGACGGTTGATTGATTGGTCGGATAGATGGCTGGATGTCTGGCGCGCCATCGCGCGCACGATTAATAAATGTTGACATCTTTTCTTTCGTTCGGTTTCGATCTTTTGGGCGCGGACATCGCGCGGGAAATTGCTTCGTTCTTTTAAATCGGTCTTCTGAATCTCTTTCGAATTTGCCGGGGCCCGATGGCTCTCGGAATTTCGGACTTTCTTTCTGGAATTCGCGCTTTTTGCTTTTCCGCATTAGATAGAAATTTTGGAATTCTGTAATTAGGATTTTCTTGCCCCACGGCGCCTTTTGTCTACGCGCTTCTTTATGCGGCTGCAACGGTATTCTGATTAGTAGGCGCCCTTAATCTTGTGTGTAACTGTAATTTTGGGCGGGCGCCATTGTAACTGTATCTTTCTTCTTGCACTTCGTCTCTCCCGCCCTCCCTCTCTTTCTTTTGCTGAAATTTTTGTAAGTCGCGGCTTGCATGCTCGGATCGATGCGTGGAGAAGGGTTACGTCCCCCACGCCGCGGCCGATCATGCAGAACGCAGGCGCTCCCTCTCTAATCCCCACTCTAAGTCCTGGTAATTCCGTGTTCTTCGCGCATGCATGCACGCTATAAATTTCAGCTGCGCGATTAGTCAGCTCTCTTAACCCATTGTTGGAAGCTCGGGGTTGCGCGATCAGGAAGGGTCGGCACACAAGCGAAGTAAGAGGTGAGTAGAGTAGGAGTTGGGCGACCCGACGGGCTGGTGCCGAACGCGCGGGATTGACGTGGGCCATGACGGACTGTGGGCACGGGCGAATCTGACGGGTGCGGGAGGACTAAGCGGGGTGACGACTTCGTGGGTTGGTGCGGGACGACGGACTGTCCGCATCGGAGAAGAGAGAGAGAAGAGGAGAAGAGAGTTGAGGTCGATGGATGCGGATTTGCTGTTTCTTTGTCTCTTCCCCCTCTCTATCTGTGTATATAAATTTTGATTGCGTCTCCGGGCGGTTCGCCCGTTCTTGTTTTCGTTTCGGCTTTCTAGAATCTGGACTTGGGTTTTTGCTCACACTTGTCCTTGCGGTGTCCGTCTCGATTGCATTATGTATGTGATTGCTGAATGTATGGATGTATCGATGCCATGCTTGCTTGTCTATCATTTGCCTGAGAATCCTTGTCCTTGCTTTTCCTGATGTCGAATCTTTACCTGCACCTGATGTCGTGGTAAATAGGATAAGAATTTGGCCCCGATAGCGATTTTGTTCTCGCTTTTGCTTGTCTCACGATTGGGTTGTGGTGTGGTTGCATCTCGCATAACCAAAACTTACGGAGCAATTAGACGGTCCGATGTCCGGCCCCGCGAACACCGCGCGAGGACACGTGTAAACGCGATCCGAGTCGCGCCATTACACGCATCCCGGTGCGTTGATTCGCCCTCCCAAAAGGTCCGCGGCGGAACCGTCATCCCGCACGAGCACGCTGAGGCGCGACTAAGCACGCCTGCCATGCACGTGCTCGTGCGCGGTTACGATAACCCGACCGGAGGTATTCCGTATACAATGACACCATGACGCGATCTTGGAGCTCAGACTCATCCTACGACCCGGATTACTTCACCCCTTGGATAAACGAACTCTTACGACAGCGATATCCCTGTCACACGGAGAATCGATTATGTCCGCGGGAATTCCACTGCGCCACCTCTAGCGACCCCCGGTGCTATGATTTCCCTTCCCCCGACCATACCTACTACTTAATTCATCCGGGATTTGTCGTCATCACCACCAGTTTCCCTCCTTTTCACCTCCTTCTCCCGTATCATCAACTCAGTGTCGTTCCGTGGCCGGCCATAGCCCCCTATTGGCCCAACACGCCTTGCGGGAATTGTCGACGTAGCGGCGAGCGGAGAACCCCGGAATTTCGAAGGCCCAACCCAAACACGCCGCGGCCTGCGCCATGTGGCGGCCCCCGACGGCCCAACTTTTCAGGACCGCCTCCTCCGCGGAGGGACTTCCCCGTAAACCGTCGCCCACAGTACCCCGGCCCCATCGGGCCTTGACTCCCTTGCACACGCGCCCCTTGTTCGCCTAATTGCATTCGTATCCCTAAGACTCCCCCACTTTTCCCAAAAATCCTTGGCACACCCCTTTTCGCACTTCCAGGCCCACATCCCACTCCGATCAGGAAGTCGCGCTGGGCGTGAGGTTTATACCTCTTTTGACCCAGCTGCTCCATGGGGTGTCTGAGCTACGATATACCCTGTTGTTTCTGTTTGTAATCCTCCTGCTCCCGAAGAGAGGCTGGCGCATGACCTCCTCCCACCTTATCGGCGGAGGTCCGTCAGGCAGAGAGAGTTGATGGCAAAC